TACCTACCGCTGGCTTGCCGCAGGTTGCTGTTCATTTTGTCAAGTTCTTTCTGCATCTCTAGCATCTCAGTCATCATCACTGAATATGGATCTATAGAAGCATTAGATAATGATCCCTGTCTGGGATGGAGAAATGACCGAAAATGCTTACCTTGTGATCGTTCTTTTGAGGGGTTCATGATAACAGCCTGACAACAAGGATTAGCAACCATAAGTTGGAGTAACAAGATCACACGGCGGAATTGAAACTTAATTTTTGTTTTAATGGTTTTTCAATTTTAAGATGACATTTTATTTAATCTCATAGCGTTTTTCTATAATCTATTAATTTCTTGTTTCTTGTCTTAGTCTCTTCTATACCCCTTGCTATCCCATAGTTTCTTATTGAATTGATCCCTAGTTTCTTATTGAATTGATCCATAGTTTCTTATTGGATTGATCCATAGTTTCTTATTGAATTGATCCATAGTTTCTTATCGCTTGATATAGTTTCTTATTGAATTGATCCCTAGTTTCTTATTGAATTGATCCATAGTTTCTTATCGCTTGATATAGTTTCTTATTGAATTGATACATAGTTTCTTTGAATTGATCCATAGTTTCTTATCGTGATTGATCCATAGTTTCTTATTGAATCGATACTTATATAATAGTATTTAAGATGGCGGCCGTAATAAAAAAAGCTAGGTTTATGGACGTGACGCCTGCGGTATGGAGTCGACCTTGGATGTATAGTCTATTTGCACATTCACGTGATGCAGTATGTCCCCTATATACGTCACTATCTCACCGTTTCCATGAGGCCTTATACAGTGATTATTTGACTATTTCAGAAAACGTTGAATACTGAACATAGAGTATTCCAGCTAAAGACCGAAATGCATTGTTGGTCGTTTTATATCCTTTCAAAAAGGAATTTATATCGTGGTTTCCGAGTGACTACCAGTTCCTTCCATTCAAGAACTTTAAATACTACCAGTTCCTTCCATTCAAGAACTTCAATTGAAGTTCTTGAATGGAAGGAACTGGTAGTCACTCGGAAACCAAAAACGATATAAATTCGGGAAAGCATCTATAATTGTCAACGCAGCAAACGCGTGGAGGCATATGGTCTTGCGATTTTTTTTTTTTTTTTTTTTTTACTTTTGTCTACATTATGTCCCTTTTGGTACAATTTTCAAATGAAAACATATTGTCATGACCAATTTATTAAAAAACACTGACCTTGATTTTTTCTATGTAATACTATATGATAGTTAATATTATATGATAGTAGAACAACAGTGTGTTTTGAAGCAATTACTATCTCCCATTTTTTTAAAAGAAATTTTCTTCACAAAGTCTGGTAGCCATGGCAACCTCAAAGAATATATGATATTGGCTTCCATCTGATTAAAACAACCCATTGTACGATAAATCATATGCATATACTAAAGTAATATATTCTGGTACTCTAGAATTAGGCTTTTCTATACCGGATCGATATTGAGCTTCTAAGAATGTCGCAATTAGCTATAGATGGAAATTAGTTTTATTTCGGGTGACAAATTTTTCGCTGAAAAACKTTTCTTTAAAATTTGATATACAAGTCCCTATTGTGGCGGTAGTGTTCTATTCGCAAGATCGTGACACCTGGATACGATACCGAATTTACGTACAGATGCTTCTTTTCCGTTTCAGAATAAATTTACCATGTTCACCAGACAGATTTGAAAAGAATATTTCGATCCTTTAGAAAAAAATCATGACCTATCTAAACTATAAGGGAATTATTTTCAATTGGTAATTTAAAGAGAGGGAAAAAAAACAATCAAGACTACTGATCCTAATTTTTGGTGGATATCTTTTTTCCTAATTTACCTAGACAGCTGGAAAGTTAACAAACAATTTATTTAAAAAGAATTGTGTTTACTTGTAATATCCCTCCCATTCTTGGGCTTAAATCATATAAAAAAARCTATATAAGCTTCTTCTGGTAAAACTGAAAGAATTCATTACATGTAATAAGCCTAAAGCATTAAAATTATTTTCTTTTACATCGGACACTTAAGCTTAAGCATAGCTTATCGAGTGAAAAGGTTTTGTTGACAGCCGTTTGAATAATTTATGAAAAACAAAGAATTTGCCAAAAAACACTTTGCTAAAAGTATACCAAACTTCAATGACAATATTCTTCATGGAATCTAAGAGTATTATTACATTTGTAATTAACACTGACCGTTCAATTGAATGTCGCCCAAAGCAGATGTACACACGAGCAACGACGTAGCYCTTTGTAGCTTGCTATTCCTCAGTATATTTGGTGTAAACTAGGTAAAATAACGCTCCAAAAACAATCCCAACCAGTACTGAACAAATGACGAGAACAATTTTGAATACAAGCGGCTGTTTYGATAGGTTTTGCACTTGTGAATGGATCTCTTCTCGTTCTRATAGAATAGGAGAATCGCTTTCCATGAGATGTAGCGACGCGTCGCCTGTTTTCATTTTGAGCGCGGGAAAAAGATTAGACGCGCGCGCACAAGTTGACATATATGGAACATAGTAGCAGTCATTAGCATATCCTCTTTAATTGGCCTAAAAATGCATTATCACCACAGTGGCCYTCTTTATAAAGAAACCAATCTTTTCTTTTCTTYTYTYTC